CACACATCTAGGAAATAGCCTAACTAGGACTTGAATTCAGTCCATGTTGCTCTTAAACCATTGAAATCTACTCTTGGAGCAGGGATTTCATGTTCTTGGGCCAGTTTCTATAGCAACTGTGCAGCTTAGATGAACATTCTCTTGTGAATTGTACAACCAAAATGAGTGAGTTATATGAGCTATAGACTATGCCTAAATAAAGTTGTTTTTTAAAAAAAATCAAAGGAGGGAGGGAGGGAGAAAGAAAGGAAGGGAAGAAGGGAAGAAGGAAGGAAGGAAAATATGAGTAGCCAGAAAATTTTTTCTTAGGGGTTCCATAATCACTATAAACCAGCTACATGAGTTCAATGAAGACCAGTAGAACTGGATAAACACTGAAAAATTTGGTTTCCAGGTAATTGCCTTGCACACCTGGAACTTCTTGTGAACTTCTTGTGAATTTCTTATTCAGCCCTTCCCTCCTAAGGCCACCCCCCCACAAATCAGCCTGGTGACCATGAAATTCTACACTCCAGGAAGTATAAACACCCTTGTGTGCATGTTTGCATTGGGGGTGGCGTGCATGCAGCAGTGAACAGAGTCTCAGGATGTAGGACTTTCTGAAAGAATTCAGTCTTCAGGACGTCATTTTAGGCAGTTACTAATGCTTAGGCCTGTGCTGATAAATGAGCTCCAACAGCATGCGGCACAGACTTTGGGTTACAATAATGCTTGAACTGAACCAGAAGATGAAGACTTTGATGGATTTTGTGTCATTATGGGGAGCGTCAAGACTTATGCCAGCTGTCAGCTGAAAGTATAATAAACAAATTAGGAGATGCTGACATGGAAAAAAAAACGCCAAACCTTGACGAGAGGCACCTGGTGAGCATCTCTTGCTGGCAGTGGTGTTAGTCACAGAAAGCAAGGGAGGGTTGGCAAACCGAAGGGAGAGACATGAAAGGGAAATAAATCAGTATTTTCTGTGCTTGTTGCTCTTATAACAAATTCTGATTAGTGCTTCTTGAAGAAAGGACAGCTAGTTAAAAGCTTTGACAAATAATGGGTACTTCATTACTGTGCCGGAAATTCACAGTTTGCACTAGCATGTTAAAGACTCTGGAACAGTAGAGCTGGCAAGCCTGCGTGGGTGTCTCCGGGTAAATTCCACAAGCTCAAAGCTTGTCCAGCGCCAGGACATCAGACATCCACTTCTAACACGTCCATCGCAGATGCTGACTTAGTACATCTGGAAGGTCCGAAGAGTAAGGCTGGGTGCAGGGCCTGGCTGAGCTTCCCTGCTCAGGAGCCTTTGTAACCCAGCCCAGCATCGCCCCTTCAACCTGGAGATGCCCCTCCAGGAGACTGTCTCGCCCATATCCATTCTTTGTTGTCCCCTTCCCACGTCTCAGCAAAAGGGGAGAGTATGTATGCCTGTGGGGTTTGGTGAGGCTAAGACCGTGATTTTTGTTTTATTCTTTAAGAGACTTTATTTTTTTAGAGCAGCTTTGAGCTGAGTCCTCTATCTAATTTGGCCTTCCCGGGCATTGCTGGTCCTCCGTTCCCAGAGTGGCTCCTCTGGTCGCTGTTTGCCCCTTAGTTACAATTGGGGCAGATTGTGTTAAAGAGCATCCATACCCATTCCTCAGAGTGACTTGGAAGATTAATAAAGAAAGTCAGTGCAAAATCCCTACCTTAGAAACAACTTGGAACTTTAGGTATAAAGTACTGCAAGTTTCACAAGGCACACAAAAGTGCAAAGGCAGTTGCTCTGCTCTCTCCTGAGAAATATCAGCTGTAGGTGCTGCCCAGAGGCCCCAGCCCTGCTGGCTGGGAGGGGGAACCCACTGGGAATAGAGCCCCAGGTGCACTAGGGACACCCAGAGAGGTTACACAAGTTCTGTGCTTTCACTGGCTCTCCTAACACCCTTTCTTCTGTCTGCAGCTCTGCACAGCTCGCCAGGAAAGTCACCTGGGACAGGAAATAGAAATCTCTGTGTAGATACAGACCCACATTTAAATATCACTTGTGCTTAAAGGGACTGGGTCAGAATTCTTTTTTACTAATTAGTGAAATTAAATTCTGCCCCTTAAATGTTCAATGTGTATAATAAGAAAATATCACTTATGAAAGAATTGTATTTAAAATGTCTCAGGAGCCCAGTTCTTTAAAGTAGTTCCAGGACCACTAGTAAGTGTTATGGTGCAGTGAGTTAGGCAGCATGGCTTTCTCTTAATGTCCAAATGTCAAGATAATGGCCTATATTACTCACTGGAGATACAAATAGTGTGATCTCAGCCGCCCAGGCCCATGGATCACCAGTTACTACTGTGTCCCCTTAGGGCCACCTTTGGACAGCCTTGAATAGAGAGGAATGACTGCCAGTTGTCCCACTCAGGGAGCCAGGCAGTTACTAAAATGAGACCATGCATGGGGGACTGAGTCATTTGCTTTTTAAAGTGAACAGAAGGAGTGTTGCTTTGGCTATGCATTTTTTGCCTGGTTATTCTTGTTGCTTTCTCCTGCCGACCTCTTGTGCCAACCTCTCAGTGCTCTTTGGATTATAGTTTTTCTATCCCTGCAATTCACACAGAATTACTCTGCAAGACACTGGAGAAAACAGAGATTACGGGAGTCTGTACCCTGACCGGAGGCTGCCAAGCCCCTTTGCCCTGCTTGGCAGCCTAAACTGGAAGCAAGACCCAACCCCCACCCTGAGCCGGGGAACAGGAGAAACTGAACAGCTCAAAAGAAAAACTTCCAGGAACTATATTACTTGGGGCATCTGCACCTGATCATTCACTCATTCAAATATCCATTCATTCAAACTCTGGGCAGATATTTATGAGGTGCCTACTGTGTGCAGATAGTCTTCTCAATTCTGTACACACAGCAGTAAATAGACACAAATTCCTGGCCTCAAGGGTCTTACATCTGAGTGGTGAAGGCACATAGTGAACAAAATAACTAAGTAAAGTACCAATATATTAGGTGATAATAAATTAGGGAAAAATAAAACAAGGAAGAGGCATGGGGAATTCCAGTGATGTTTTTAAGTAAGGTGATGTGGAAGGCCTTGTTTAGAAGGTAACATTTCCACTAAATCTCTGTGGCGAAGCCCAAACCACACACAGAGATCTGGCCAGTTTTTCGTGTCATTCATAGCAATTTACAGACAACCAAATCTCAAATGTTCTAAGGGTCACAGAACATTGGGAGGCCTGCATGTGTGAAGCAGAAACAGAGAACAGCGACTCAAGGAGAAGAGAGGGAATACAGGCATCAGAAGACAGGCTCAGCTGTGATTAATATCTCCTGAGGGAGAAGCGATTGCACCGTAAAACAAGAAAAATGCAAACAACTCTGCTTGCCTTTGCGCCGATGACATTGCTTCCCCATACCACCCACACCAGCCAGTGGAGGGCTGTGCCCACCAGCCCTCCCCCTACCCACCGCCTGCAGAAGCGGCGTGTGCTTTGACCTGCTCCTGAAAGCGGCTGGAGGTGGTCCACAACTCGAAAATGCAGAGCAGCCCACTTCTGTTGACCTTATTTCTGGGGGCCACCCCTTAGCTGTCCGCACAAGGGCCTCCCCAACCATGGGGTGCCCTGTGTTTACAGGCTCACTCAGGACTACCCTCTGGTCAATTCCCAGGGAAGCTGAGCCTCCCTTCAGCTCATCTCTTCCTGGGGCAGTTCATCTATTTTCATAATATTGCTCTTTTCTTACACAGCTAGGTTGCTGTTTGGTATTGCTTTTTCAATATGTATTGCTTAGGGCAGGGATGTCAAACTCATTTTCACTGGGGGGCCACATCAGCCTCATGGTTGCCTTCAAAGGGCTGAATGTAATTTTAGGACTGTAGAAATGTAACTACTTCTTAACAGTTAAGTGAGAGCTCGGCACTGCCACTGGGTTGAAACAAGGTGCTGGACTGGCTGAAACAAGGCAGAGGGCCGGATCCGGCCCTCAGGCCTTGGAATTGCCACCCTTGGCTTAGGGGTATTGTAGGGGGTAAAACTATAAAAAGAAACATCAGAATGATTACAACAGAAATGAGCTAGATTAATGTGCAGAGCGAGGGAAGGATTCATTGGGAAGGGCCACATGGGCTTCTAAGGTACTTTACCAGTACTATAGAGACACTGTTACAGAGTTGCTTTATTTATTAACATTAAGGGCATATATCCAGGTGTTAAATAGAACTCTGCCTGCTTACCTCTTATATGTATTTAACACATTTTACAATAGTTTTAAATAGGCTTCAATAGCCATGAAACTGATCAATATGTAGCAAGGACTGGGGTTTGAGAGGGGAGGAGAAGGAAAGACTTTGGGTAGAGATTGATGTGTTAAACCACATGCAGATGTTGCTTTGATAAAGTCAAAGTTCTGTGCTAGGAGCTGGGCTTACAAAGATGTTAAAATCCAGACTCTTGCCTTTGAGTGTGGTATTTCTGCATCTGGCAAGAGACCAGTGCAGATGACTAAATACAGCCGTAAAGTATTCAAATATGGAGTGCTTTAGGGTTACAGAAGAGGGAGCAATGGCTTTTTTAGACAAAGAGCGATGAGAAGAGAGGATAGGAACAGCATAGATAGTCTGTAATCAGGCCTTGAAGGAGGAATCTGAAAGCAAAGCAAAGGAGAAGAAACACAATGAGCAAGGGCAGGAGGTGAGGGGGGGAAGTGCAGATGAGCGGTCCGGAGCAGATCAGGGACTGTGCAGGTTGCGCTCTGCAGAGCCGCCAGGGGCGGCATCATAGCGTGGCACAGAGTGTCGCCTGCACCGTAGGCACACTCCTTTAGTTTGGTTAAAGGGACTGGTGTGGGCCCGCAAGGGAAGAGAGAGGAAGCCAAAAGTACAAGGGTATGAGGTGAGGAATGGAAAAATGGAATGTGAAATGGGAGAAAAAAAAACAAACTTTAAGCATTATTGAATTGTCTAGTGTTGACATATAACATTCAAATTATTTGTCACTTCAATATGAGATTCAAAAATCATGCCAACCATTTGTACTCAATGAAGGACAGCAGCATGTGCCTTTATTTATAATGGCAGGGACCAAACATGACCACAGCTTCTGACTGATGCCTCTCACATTAATATCATCCCTTATGGTCTCAACATAAATAAGAATTGGACAAAAAGAAAATCTCTGTCACCTATGACTACTTTATTACACAGAAATTAACCTTTCACAATAGAGACTGCAAAAGGAAATTAAATTAACCCTGTGATTCTAGAACAAACTTCGCAATGACGAATTCTTAAGTTTTCAGAGGAAGGAGTAAAAGGAGAGAAAATCATTTAGGACCGTGTTTCTCAAATGCTACTTTCACAAACATATTCTTGGGTGACTAGGTTGCAAGTTTATGATAATGTTTTGAATATATGTTTTCATTTGGTCATAATGTAAACAAATCAATACACACTTGTGCAGGAGCACCTGGACGATCACCTCACATGACAGAGCTGCCACAGGGTCACAGCATCTGCATGCGGACCTCTGACCCCTGAGGCACCAAGCAAAGGCCCGCTGTGCCGAACTCTCCGTGCAGCATTCCTCAGACTGGGCCCCAGGCCCTGCACAGGCCTGGTGGACATTCCTGGGAGCACCGTGTGTTGTTACCGAGCTACGGAGCGGTGATGCTCAAGGTGGGGTGAGAACGGACTGGGGAGACACATGTCATTTCAGAAAGCACATTGAAAATACTTACTTCATTTTATGTACAAACTCTATGAAGTCAAACTCAACAAACTAATTTTGGGGGTGGTAGCATAAAGTTAACTTGCAGAATCATCCTAGGGGGCCTGGGAGACACTGGGCTGAGAAGCGCTGGCTTAGAGGTAGTCCTGGCATGTGAAGAACAGGTAGTAAGAGCCACGTGCAAAAGAGAGGGAACTTTCTGTGGGTCAGTGAGGGAATCCTAAGCTATACCTTGTCACAGTCTTTTGGAACCCAAGGGCCACCGGAGAAGGAACCCAAGGAGCACATCCGCCTTCTCAGACCTGTGGTTTGTGGCAGGCAGGTCCCCTTTCAACACTGAGTCAGTAGAAGCAAAGCCTGTTTGTTGCCAAGAACTGCCCCCTGCCATTTTTTTGGTTTAGCTATTTCAGAATTTTAAGTAAACAGTTGCTGGGTAAAGGAAGGCCCAGGCCCCAGTCAGGAGGAAGTGCTGTCGTCATTCACGGGCCGGTCAGCTGTCAGGGAGGTGTCAGCCCGGGGTCTGTCCTGCCAGGAAAAACACAAAGAACTGAGTTTTCTTGAACAGGTAAATTCCCCTCACTTCTCTTTCATCACCAGCACACTTATTCTTGTTATTTAGACACAATCTGTTACGATGACTTTGAGACGCAGTTGTCAGCCAAATACTGGGAGCGCACAATGCCAAAGGACAATGCAAATAGAGGCCTTGTGAATGTAGGGACTCTAATAACTGGGCAAATGATATTTCCCATGTTCCCGGGAAAGTCATTCATTTTCTCCCATTCTTAATCTAAGCCTAAAGTGTTCTCCCATCTAAGCCTAAATTGCTGAAAAAAGAAAAAAGAAGTGTTCTGGAAAACACCTGGCCCCACAATTAATTGAGTTTTGAGTGCTTTAGCACATGTGGTAAGGCCAGAAAGCTAACACAAATACCGTGGTCGCCTGCTGTTGTGATGTTATAGAATTGTGATGACAAGGTTTATAACATTTTTATCACAAATGGTTCAGTGGGAGTTTTTCAGAACTTTTTTTTTTTTTACTTCTGTTGCTATTCAGAGTAACCACCACAAATTATGTATACTCATCACTCAAGGGTACATTATTCATTAGTGGGCAATAAATACCCCTCAAAAAACAGTTTGGTTTGAGGACCAGAAATGTCTCCTCTGACCAACCACTGAATCTGTGTGTGTGAGTCTGAGGAGCTGGCCTCGGTAGGAGCTGAGGGGAGGGGGAGCTCATCAGACCCCCAAAGTATCCTGGTATCTTTCAAAGGGTTCATCACCCTATGGGAAGTTTCCCCTTCAGCCGAAGATATCCTTTAGGTTACAGTTTTCGAAAACTTTGTTTTGATGTTTGAGAGGTCCATTAGATTGAAACTGAGTTGCAGTATGAACACGGGCGAAGCAAAATTACCTTGATTCCACACTGCACTTATAATCCGAACTGCTCACTGTCACCTGTGGGCCCTGGCCACGGTCCACATCTGTCACTCCTCTTCCCTCTCACTGAACTTTACTCAGTCTGTTCTTCCTTGTTTCTGGTTCTGGAACTTTCTGTACCAGTTATCTCAAGGCCTTTGCATCTGCTAGTTCCTCTGAGAGCTTTCCTGCTTCACTGCAACATGACTGTCACGTGACCTTTAGCTCAACCAGCCCCCCTGAGAAAGACCTTCCCTCACCACATTAGTGAACTTCGCTCCCCACCCCCTGCCACGTTCTACCACATTAGTCTGTTCATTTGTTTCAGGAATTATTTACTTGTTTCTCATCTGCCCACCTCTCTAGAATGAGTCTCATGTTATCTTTTTTTCCATCACTGTATTCCTAGTGCCTCAGACAGTGTCTGGCACATAGTAAATGCTCAATAAATATCTGTGAAATGAAGGTCCAGTGAAAGGATTTCTCTCATTGACACAATCCCTTTATAAAAAGGGGAATTCACAAAAGACATTACAGTTCTTCAGATCACTCCAAACCACCCTTTTCCTAGCCAGAGGGCCTTCCCAGATTATGATAAAACCTGGCAGTAGAATCCCACCATCTCCCCGTTTTCCCAGTGCCCATGGCCCAAGTCCCATCTGTCACTCACCATAATTACTGCAGAGCTCCAATTTGCTTTAGCCGTGTCAACAGTTCCCTACGTTGATGCATATTTATTAGATCACTGCATCCACCTATACACTCTTCACCGATAAAGACTCGAGGTACCTAAAAAAAGTAAACCAGAACAGTTAAGGAGCTTAATTATTAACTTGGAGAATGACTTTTTACCCTTCTTCTAAACATTTCCCATGATCCAAACTTTTTTTTTTAACTTTTTTATTGATTATGCCATTACATTTGTTCTATTCCCCCCCCCTCCGTTCCCCTCCACCCTGCATACCCCTCCCCCACCATTTCCCCCTTTAGTTCATGAACACATGTCTCAAATTCTTTAGATTCTGTATTTCCCCTACTATTCTTACCCTCCCCCCTATTTTCTATCTACTGTCTATGCTACTTATTTTCTGTACCTTCTCCCCCCTTCTCCTCCTCCCACTCCCCTGTTGCTAACCCTCCTTGAGATCTTCATTTCTATGATTCACTCCTGATCCAGCTGTCCTTTTAATTTGCTTTTGTTTTAGGTGTGGTTGTTAATAACTGTGAGTTTGTTGTCCTTTCACTGTTTATCTTTTTTATCTTCTTTTTCTTAGGTAAGTGCCTTTAACATTTCATATAATAAGGGCTTGGTGATGATGAACTCCTTGAATCTGATCTTATCTGAGAAGCACTTTATCTTCCCTTCCATTCTAAATGAAAGCTTTGCTGGATAGAGCAATCTTGGTTGTAGGTCTTTGGATTTCACAACTTGGAATACTTCTTTCCAGCCCCTTCTTGCCTGTAAGGTCTCTTGAGAAATCCACTGACAGTATGATGGGAACTCCTTTATAGGTGACTGTCCTCTTATCTCTTGCTGCTTCTAGGATTCTCTCCTTCATTTTAATCTTGGCTAATGTAATGATGATGTGCCTTGGTGTGTTTTTTCTTGGGTCCAACTTCTTTGGGACTCTCTGAGCTTCCTGGAAGTCTATTTCCTTGGCCAGATTGGGGAAGTTCTCCTTTATTACTTGTTCAAATAAGTTTTCCACTCGTGGCTGTTCCTCTCCCCCTTCTGGTACCCCTATAATTCGGATGTTGGAATTTTTAAAGATTTCCTGAAGGTTCCTAAGCCTCTCCTCATTTTTTTGAATTCTTGTTTCTACATTCTTTTCTGTTTGGCCATTATTTGCTTTCTTCTGGTCCACTCCATTGATTTGAGTCCCAGTTTCCTTTCCATTACTATTGGTTTCCTGTGCATTTCCATTTATTTCAATTAGTTTAGCTTTCATATGTTTCTCTAATTTGTGACTAAGATCAACCAGTTCTGCGAGGATCCTGATAACCAGTGTTTTGAACTGTGCAGCTGAAAGTTTGGCTATTTCTTCATCGCTTAGATTTATCGGCTCTGGGGCTCTGAGTTGTTCTTGAGCCATTTTTGGTCTGTTCGCGCAGCGAAGCCTTAGTTGTTTACCAGGGCGGGGCCACCCAAGTTGCTGGTTTGTGACGCTGTGTGTGGGGGCGGGGTCAGAGAGGGAGCAATGGCGGTCCTCTCCGGTAGCCCAGTCCTTCCAGTCCTACCACTCGCCCTGGCCTGTTTATCTGAGCAGAATCGTGCGAGCCTGCTGCCCTGCGCCCTGCTGTCTCAATGCTCGCCTCTTCACTGGTTTATCTGTACACAAATGCGCGACCGACCGCAGACAGCCAGCCGCGCCTCTTCCCTGTGTGCGCCTGTAGCTAGCCCGTGATCCGCGCCTTCGGCTGCTTGTGTACCACTAGGTCAGGGATCGTTTTGGTCAACCGGCTCTGCTGCTGGCTTCACCCCCCTTACCAGTTTAGCCGAGCATTTCGTCCTTTTTTCGGACTCCGTATTGTCGATTTTCTGTGTGGTCTGGTTGTGTTTATCGTTGTTAAAAATAGTTGTTCTTAGATTTGGTTGTGCACGGAAGCAAGGTGGGTCCACCTATGCCTTTATCTTGGCGGAAGTCCCCAAACTTTCCAAATCACTTTACGATCTCCTCATGTGTATTAAAGGTCAAACCTTTGTCTAAGAATAAAATTATGCCCCAGGGTGCGGGGGTGGAAAATAGTCCTCACAACTGTGTTGCAGAGAAAAAGCGAGGAAGGTCTTCTTCTCAAGTCACAGAAGGGGCTGCCCGCTCCTCTGGCACTGCAGGCTTGCGGGGACCTTTGCAAAGGGAACATGGCTTTCGTGAGGCTGAAAGAAGAACAGCCTTGGAAAGCTGAGGTCAGAAACCCAAGTGTTCCCCTGGGTCCTCATCATTACTTTAAGGAACATAAAGCTTCCCCCATAAATAGTTGGGGTCTTTTGGCTTCTGTCTCCCCAGGAACACTTAGCTAATGTAGGTCTAATGTATATTGCAGAACTGCTGTGGAAGGCAGTGCCTATAATGAAATACAAATCACCTGATTTTTATATTATACTATTGTTATATTCCATACGGAAGAGATATAATCCTTCTAGGATTTTTACCTTATCAAAAAGAATTGAGCAACTGCCACCACTCCTCCAGTTTGCCACAGTTCCACCTTTGACAAGGGTGTTGGCCAAGAGGGTGTTAGTTAAGTTAGTAGGACAGTATGTCCTGAGAAACCAGGAGTCCTCTTTTTAGGCAGGGGAACCTGCACCAGAACCGCCAGAGGGCTTGTTGAAACATAGATTTCTACTCCTCCTGGCTGCCCGCCCCCCAAACTTCTGACACGGGAGATTTCGGTTGGGGCCCAGGAATTTGCATTTTTGAGAAGTTACTGGGTGGTACTGACGATTCCTCCCAGGGTAACCGAGACTTTTACCTTTAACAACTCACAGCCCCCAGCAGCCCCCAGGTGCCTGAGACAGGCGCTGAAGCACAGCTGAGCTCTCTGCAGGGCAGAGCCTTGTGGAGCTATCTGACCAGGAAGCTGGTTTGCCTAACAGCCTAAAGGCTGCTCTGCACTTACACCCGCTCTCTAGTCTCTGCAGCCCCAAACCACCTTAAAGCCACCCGTTAGCTGCATTACAGGTTGCACCAGACATTGAGGGGGTGGAGGGGACTGTGGTGGCAAAACAGGAAACTTCATTCGGCTGAGGAAGGAAGAGGACATGCACCCTCAGTGCCTGCCCTTCCGGGCTCCATTCCCCTTTTCTGAGGAACCTGCGTCTGCTACAGACAAGAAGCAGAAAGAGAACTCCCACCACAAACAAGCTCGGTAGTACAGGCACCCTCACTCTCCTGGAGCAAGTTTCTCCAGTCCTCAGCCCCAGTTGGGCACATCATCTGTGCTCTAAGGTTGCTCGGATATGGCCACTCAAAGCTGCTTCCCTGCACTCCTCACCACTGCCATGGGTACAGGCCTGGAACAAGCCACCATCGTTCTTCATCACGAGTGAAGCTACGGTCTCCAGGCATCTCTGTTTCAACCTTCAACTTGGCCCTCCTCCAGTCTCTTCCCCACAGCTGCCAGGGTGAGGCTTTCTAAACTAAGGCAGTTCACCTCACTCCTCTCATCTCACATCACCAGCCATAGTCCTGATGGTAACTTGAAAGGCCCTCCCAGCCTATACCCCATGATGTCCCAGACTTCAGCTCCTCCACTATCTTACTAGCTTCCAATGACCCAGGCACACAGGCCTCCTCATGAGGCCCACGTTCGGCCTAGGTGGGACCTTTGCGCTTGCTACTGCCTGTGCCTGGAACACTCTTACCCTTACATTTCTGCAAGCCTGGCTCCCTCACCTCCTTTAGAGATCTAGTCAAATCAATGAAGCCCCAGTGATTCCATCTAAAAAACTGTACCTTGCTGCTTGCTGCCTACCTCCCTTTCCTACTTAGTTTTCTCCATAGCACATATTAATTGTCACCTTCCAACACAGTTTCTTGCATTTACTAGAATGTAAGTTCTGCAAAGGTAAGAGTTTTTGTTTGTTCTGTTCATGGAGGTGTTTCCAAAGGCTCGAAAAGTACCCAGTATGTAGTAGGTGCTTTTAAAAAAATATTTGTTGTATTCAGTAAAATTATTCTTCAAAAGTGAAGAAGAAATACTCTTTCTCTCTCTCTCTCTCTCATACACACACACACACACACACACACACACACACACTGAAGGAATTTGTTGCCATTAGACCTGCCTTACAAGAAATGTTTGAAGACATTATTCAGAGAGAAGGAAAGTAACAGGCCAGAAACTTGAATGTATATGAAGAATTTCAAAGAAGGAATAAATGAATGGCCTGATCCAGGACTCATGGCTACAGCAAAACCAAAACAGGTTTCTCCAGGTACATGACGTAACTGAAGGCATACGTTTCTATAGTTAATCAAGTCCTGCTGGCTCTTACTACACACAGAGCACCGAGTGCCATTACAGGGCTGGACAGCACGTGCTTCCAAGTTTTCCATCTCTTCCGAGATAAATGCATCGTTGTTGGGGACCGTAAAGCACACAACTCTAAAGAATTTGTTCTTCCCCTTGGAGGAAGCTGTGAAAAAATAGTTTTTGGAATTTAAAAACAAATTTAAAACACCACTGGAAGAAAAGTCATTGATTACAAAGAAATGAAAACAATTGTTGAACGAATGCATGAAGAGGCTTGTTTGTCCTGCTAGAGAATAGATGGTGTCCAGCTGAAGGCTGTAGCTGCCAAACTTATTGCAAATTGGAATCACCTGGGGAACTTTTTCTGGCTAGAAAATAAACTATTTTCCCAGCTTTACTGAAATATAACTGACAAATATACTTGTATATATTAAGGTATAAGATGTCATGGTTTGGTAGAAATTGTAAAGTGCTTACTATGATTAACTTAATACATCCATACCTCACATGGTTGTCATTTTTGTGTGTGCGCTGGAACACACTCTGCAAATTTCAAGCATACAACTCAATTCTGTTAACTACCGCCGCCGTGCTATCCATTAGATCCCTAGAACTTACTCCTCTTCTCACTGAATGTTTGCACCCTTTGACCTAGGAGAGATCTTTAAACTACTGAGGCCTGGTTCCCACCTCTGACTCGGTGATTAAATTGGTATGAGGGATCATTTGGGCATCAGGATTTTTTTAAAGCCCCTCAGGTGATTTTTAATGTGCAGCAGCATTTGGGAATCACTGGCTGAGAGGGACCGGTCACAGTGCGGGCTGTAGTAATACTTGCATGGCCCTTTCCCTCCCACGGCCCAGGCAGCCTGTAGGGCTGGTGGTCCAGCTAAGTGGCAAGAGTGTTTCTTGCCATTGAGTCCTCTGCTCCAGGACCTCCCAGAGACAAGAGTCTGCCACCCACAGCTAGAGCTCTGGAAGCAACAGGGTCATGTGGCCAGCCCCCCTCCACACCAGAGTTGATTTCTCAGGAGAAAGCCCCCTGTGCTTTCAAATTGAGAACCCAGGGAACACCCTGTGAGCCAAACTAACACTGAACTTGGATGTGTGCTTCTGGAACACTGTCTGAGAAAGTGCATCTTGAAAGAGAACTTGGGTGAGCTGCTGGGAGGCCGGTTACCCTGGCCAGCACCAAAACTGATACAGGCAATCTGGTTGGCTGGGCAACCCACAAGAAGCCATGGGTGCTGAAGAAGCCTTTCCAGAGAGAGGGCGGCAATTCTTGGAGAGTCCCTCGGTTTCTTCATAGCAAAGGAAACTCTGGTTCAGTCTTGCAGCCAAGAAGGTCCTTGAGGGTCACAGAGGAGGGGACTTGCCTGGGATCGCACAGCAAACCAATGTGAGAGCCAGACCCTGGCCTCTGGACTCCCTACTATGACAGGCCTAGAAACAGCCTATAATTTAGGACAAGGAGCAAATAATAAGCCGTTTTTTAAGTTATAAGATTAATAATATTTTTTTCAACTCTCAGTATCATTTATTTTTTCTAGAATCCAGATACAATTAACTGTACCCATTAATAAGATTTTTCCAATGGGAGGAGTTAGGCAAGACATGGAAGAATAAGCGTATTAGGTTAGCCTTAGAGAGCCCAGAGGAAAGACTGAAGGACAGCAAGTTCCACTTGGCCAGAGGAAAACAGGAGAGTGCACGCAATTCCCATAGGGAAACAGACCTACAGATTGCATCTGGCCCCTTCACCCCACCCCCCTCCCCTCCCCCCGCACCCCCAGCTCTGCAAGCTGAAAACTGTCACTTCACGGCTTGCTTAAAACAAAGACTCCAGCTAACTCCTCCCACTCCTGACAGCTGCTGGACCCACGGACCCTGATGCCCAGCACAATCAGCTGTGTCCCCTCCTGGGTTCTGAGAGGACCCTTGGCGGCAGCCCAGCTGCCCATTCAAGGGAGCAGTGTTTTCTCTCAGGCGCCCTCCCCCACCTCACACGCCTCCCCGAGGAGCCTTTAAGTGACAGAGCCCTAGTGGTGTCCTAGAGAAAGACACAGGCTAGGCTTACAGCTTTACCGAGAAAAAGGAACCCGGGGCAGCCTTTCCATGGGCCTTTTAGAACAAAATCCCAGACTCACTGTTCTGGCTCCGGTGAGCTGTTGCAGATAATCTTGAATCTTGTCTGGGTCACGGGTGGCTGTGATATCAACAAATTCCAAAGCTCCTTGTCTGAAGGGGAATTGGACGAGGAGCTCTTGAGCCTGTCTGCAGTAGGGGCAGGTGGGCTTGATGAACACCACCACCTTCCCAGGACGGATTTTGCTGTTCACAAACTCCTGAGCCATGCTGACAGGCTGCTGCCTCCTAGGTGGGAATCCTCAACTGCAGGTATCACTCACAAGTACAAAACGAGGCCCAGCCAGCTGGCTCTCATTTAAAGGAACCTCCCTGGAGGAGGAGTTTGCCCGATAGCGTGCTGGAGTTTTAAAGGGACAGCCCCAAAGTCATTCCACTGAAAGATGATTCACCAGCTAGTGATTCCAAGAAATGCATATTGCATTTAATCACCAATAGCTGTGCTCAGGATGTCATTGTTGTCCTCAGATCTTTTAGGAGTGCCTGCCCTTTGGCAGAAAGCAGGGTCAGAACACGCTCTGGGGATTCACAAAACCCACAGACCAGCCCCAGCCTGGGGACTGAGCAGGCAGTGACCTTCTAGAGCAAAATATTTGTTTGCCCTCCAGGAGACAGTGTTGTAAAAAACATACGTGCAAACAGAATCATTCAAGAAGCAGAGCACATGGCACTCTGTTCAGAGGAAGTGAAACTACACTTACACCTTGCCTTGAAGTTCCTCCCAGGCCTTTTACTGACCCTGAACAGGGTCTTTGTTACCGCAATTATTTTACAACATTTAAAAATCTGGAGATTTCACAAAAGATTCTGGTCTTGAACTTCTCTTATAAGTCAAGTTGGACAAAACAGCTTGCAGCCCTCCATGGCAGCAGCTGAGGTTGAATAGCTGCTGTCCACTTAGGACGGACAGAGCGTGGCTCCGGTTTGCTGGACAAGCTGGTGCTCGCCTCTGGGGTGCTGTACCCCCTAGTAGGCAGCCCTGTTCTGCCTAGAAGGCTGTTTTAGGTCAGTTCTGACTCCCTCTGTGTTCAGGACGTTAAATAAACAAACCGGGGAAAAGCCATTTGCTTTAAAATTACACCATCCTTTTCCCTAGGAAGTTTTACACTCAAACCAGAGTATCACCAGAGAGCTTCGGCCTGGGTTGCAGCCGGACATGCCCATGGATGGTCCTGTCTGTGGAATCCCGAGCACAGTGTGATTTCTCAAGAGAAGGAAAGGGATTCCCAGAAGCTGCTCTGATGATTACTAAAATTCAGTGGAAAATGGGAAACAGATTCTGAGTCTTGGACGGGAAGCTGAGAAGTGAGATGGAGGAATGTGTGACACCAGGAAGCCTGAGGCATTTGTCCTGGTCAGGGCTTGGGACTTCTCAACCCTTAGCTTCATTTCCCTCCTGAAGAAACCCATGGGAGAGTGTTGTCTCTCTTCTTTTTCTCCCTTTTACTTGGACTCCCGTGGCCAATCCCTCCCTGAGGCTGAGGATCTCTTCTGGACCCTCAAAGCTACCGCCTGCGGCTCCCCTGGTCCAGGGCTCAGCAGTGAGCCTGTGTCTGGCTGTTCCCTCAGCACCTCTCCCTCCTCAGGGTCCAGGGTTCACATCTCCTCCTCAGCGTGTGATTGTACGAGTCTCTGCCTGGTTAGAACCACCACCACCACCACCACCGTGTATCGCACTAGGGCCTGCTTTCCTGCCTCTGCCCTTCTCTTATCAGACAGGTTCCATGAAACTGGCTGTTACGTTGTTTGCAAAACAACGGAGAAACATAACGACGGAGAAAAGGGGTCTTGGGGACAGGTCAGGGGGATCAGCCTGGGACGAGCTGCCAGACGCCCATTGCCTTAGAGTTTAGGAGGTGCTTGCTTTCATGGAAAGAACTGGGAGAAGGGAAAGGAAATGTCCCCGGCTGCCCCTGAGGGAGAGCGTGTGCCAGGGCCTTTGTTTGAGGCTTTTATCTTTCTCTTGCAGGTGAGAATTTTAGGGGAGGTCTCAGGGGGGGGTTTCCTCAGAGTATCCAGCAGTTCTTCGGGTGTGCCCCCTCAGCGTCGGGGACTCCATGACTGGTCGGTGACAGGGTGGGGTTCTTTAATCACTGGAGTTGGTCCTCATGTCGCCCATCTGGTTTTGCTGCTCTGCTGAGCCTGAAGCTGAAATACGCCCGAGGCCTCGATGTTCCCTCCAGGGAGGAAAGGCCAGGGGAGGAAAGGTTACCCTGGTGGTGAGGTCCTTGTTTTCCCAGTTTGGGCTCCTGCCACACACTGGGGCCTTCCGCCCTGGTGACCATCTGTACCTGGCTGTGAATTGCTCGGCCCCTGTGTTCAGCTGTCTGTCTCAGTTTCCCTGCTCCACTCGCCAAGGAATTGTCCTAGCTTCTCACTACCCTGTCTCTTGGTGTTGAGTGTGGCTGTGTGTGGCAAAACACTGGGGGTGGAGGTAGGCACAGTGGAGAGAGACAGCTGGAGAGCAGGGTGCCCTTTACCAAGCAGAAGGGTGAGGACTTCACACATAGGAGTGAGGAGCCATGGTAGGTATATTTAAAGCATGAACCGATTTACAGTTAAATGTTTGATGAATTCAGGACTTTCTGGACTGATCACGGCCACGTTGGCCCTTGCACTAGGCCGCTGTCGGTAAATGAGACGTGTTGTCAGCCGCTTTCAGAGTCGTGGAAATGCTGGTTTGTGGCTATGCCTGGTTTTAGTCTGATCCTCTTTGGTAATGTCTCTCTGGACCTCGGCAGGTGTGACCACAGAGCAATGCAGCCCTAACTGGAGATTCTAACCCCAGACTTGGCCACAGAAAACTTCTGACTGTGACTGTAAGTATATAGTCCTCTGGTCAGACTCTTCCTCACCTTCCACCTCTACGTGGCAGAGCTCGATGCTGAACCCAGTGTCTCTGACAGCGACCACTTACTGTGGACCCACTGTGTGCCAGCCTCGGTGCTAGGAGGTATACATATATTGTTTCTTATCCTTATAGCAACTTCGGGAGGTAGATGCTTTAGATCCCAAACTGACCAGAGGAATAAGGAGAGGATCCCTGACCTGGAGGGCCTGAAGGTCATCCAAGGTTACGAGTGGAGGCTGCTTTCCAACATATTATTTGGGAGGTTGCCACCTTTTGTAAAACCCAGGCTCAGTTTTACATATGGCGTGTCACCTACTAATACTGGTGACCTGAAAGTCCCTGCATCCCACTGGGGTTTCTTGCTGTCATTTAAGTTCAAGACTGTATCCTTGAGCTTTCTACGTGTCTCCCCACACATAGATCTTACTCTTGCTATTGGCTTCATAGGAGGGAAAAACCCGTATTCCTTTTCTCTCCTTAACCTAATCACATCAGGCTAACTAAACTAAGCCTTTAATTTCGTTTGAATTTATTAGAAATCTCTTCATTAGGCTTCCTCTGAGGCGGTCCTAGGGGGTTTTGAGGGAAAACACATAGTTTCACATTTCAGAGCATCCTGTGGACAAGTGTAATATAATACCCAGGCTCTGTAGCCCCAGCCATCTAACCATATTTAGCCATTCAAACATTTTAGGTAGAAGGTAACTGGTTTTGATTAGAAGGGTTTGTTTTTCTTGGCTGTTGGGAAGTCGGAGGTAGGAAATTGGCTCCGAGGCCCAGTGGTCTCTGGTTGAGTGTCTCTGAGGTTCTCTGGGTCCTCCCCTCACGACTGCAGGTTGGCTGCAACCGGTCTGAGCATCCATCCTCGCACGGCTGTGCTGTGAGAAAGCAGGCAGAGGCCGGGCGGTCCTTCTCCCACGGCTCCCCCCCCCCCACAGGCTTCCCTCTGTTTCCTGGACTGGAGGTGGTTCACATGCTCGCCCCCAAAGTCAGGGGCTCCCTTCTCTAAGCACATTGATCCGTGCTCCATACCTGAATCCTCTGGGCCAGCAAGAAGCACACTTCTTGTAACTGGTGAACCTACACTGACACATTGTCACCAAAAGTCCATAGTTTACTTTAGGGTTCTCTCTCGATGGCGTACCTTCTATGGGTTTGAAGAAATGTGTGATGACATGAGCTACTTTATACAGCAACTGCCCTAAGAGTCCTCTGTGTTCTCCTTATTCATCTCACCCTCTCAGGAGGAGCTTTTAATTTTCCATGTTATGCCTTCCACAGCGAATTTTTATCACATGCATGTACTAGTTTTATGTTTCATGTTTTACTTATTTAAAGTAGTGATCGGGCAGTGAGGGGGTGGAGAAGACCAGAGTTGAGAAAAAGTGTCTGTGGCATGAGGGAGCTGGAGCACATGTCTTGTTTCGTTTTTGCAAAGGTAGCAACCAGATGCAGGAGGAGAATATGAGTGAGAGAGAGGTTGCTTGATAGAGCAAGGTCCCCTAGAGAGATGGGAGTAGGGGATGGAGGGTCAGGCAATGGGGTCGGTCTTGGCGAGAAGGAGGAACACATCTTCCGAGGGGGTGCTGTGGTGGCGGGGACACATGGGGAGGGACTTCTGGGGCTGAGGATGAGAAGCCAAGTGGCTGCAATGAAAGCCCAAGAGACAAGAGACTCTAGACACCGACACATGGCTCAAAGAGCCCGATGTGGGCTCCAGGCTGGGAGGAGGCAGGGGAAGCCAGGGGAAGATGATGAGTGAGCAGAAGGGGGAGATGCTGATGTCACAACAAAGATGAAAAACTGGTTCAGTGCCAGGGATTAAAAAATAATTCAAAAAATTGTGCTCAGTGACAGGTAATTCAGGCTTATAAGCAAGTACTCGGTGGCTACATGGCTGTGTGACTAAATATGAGAAGCAGTGTCAGAAATGCTAAACAAAACACTAAAATGTTTTTTAGAACTTCTGGTCAGGACAGCAGTGTAGGCAGACATGGTTCTCCTTCTCCCAAAACCACATCAAACTTTTAACTAGAATAGAGAACAACCATCACTCAGAATTTTCAGAAATCAAGGTGAATGGAAATGTGACAACTACAGAATCAAAGAAACCACATCCATCTAGACTGGTAGGAGGGGTGAAGACAGAGAACAGGCTGGTCCCACATCCATGTGTGGTGGATACAAATTTGGGAGGAATATCTCGGGACCAAGAAGTCCCAGCCCCACACCAGGCCCTGCAGCCCAGGGCTCCTCACAAATTCTGGCTACAAACACCAGCAGGGATTGAGTTGGTGGGAGAAACTGTGGGAACCCTAAGCAGTTCCTCTTTTAAAAACCCTTACCTGGATTCACCTACTCAGACTCACTCCCTAGAAGCTCCAGCTCCGGGATAGCAGCTTGAAAGGCACCAGTGCCATAAAGGGAGGAACCAATA